AAAACCAATAAATTAGGCATTTTTGTACGACGTCGATTCAGCCAGGCAACTAGATTTAGTCTAGTGTGCAGTGCGGCTTCAACTAGTTTTATAGTACGTACAGGACCGCGTGAACTTATACTTTGACAGAGTGGCGTGCGTATGCTACTACTCTCCGGTCCGCTAGTGAGTCGAGGTACTCTATATTCTGCACACATATAAGTAATCATAACATCATCCATATTTGCGCGAGTTACGTTTGCGGCAGCTTGGGGGGGTTGAAGTGGAAGAAGATGAAGACTTTTCCTATATTACTTTATTTTCTAACTGATAAGTTAACTTAACTATTGTGACGATGTGAGTACACAGAACTTTATTTTCCAACTTACGAGTTAACTTAACTACTGTGGCGGTGTAAGTACACATAATTACTAAACTACATAACTTACAAACTAACTTAACTACTGCTGTGTCTTAACAGTTAAACCCAGGTTTATACATATACTACTTTGAAACGTGATGGGTTTTGCATAGCAGGCGGTAGGTGACTTCCTGATGGCACTGTGTTGATCATTCTTAAGTCACGCACTGTTATATGCTTAGCCTGCGATGCTAAATTGTAGGTGACTTCCTGTTTGCTTGCAAGGTCTCGGTAGACTATGTAACTCGCGCCATAATTAATGTCTGATACATGGCGACACTAGTTATCATTAGCGTCTTCTAGTATCGAGTGGCAGAACTAGGAGAGTCAAGTTCCTTCTAGAAATTTCCATGGAAGAACTTTATACACCTAGTTAGTCGGGACCGGTATGTACTCGAACATTCTAGATGTTTCTACAGTAGAAGGTTCAGGAACTATCTGAGGCCCTATATAAGGCCATTATAGATCGCGACCCGGGTCAGTATTGAATTGGCAAATCAAGCGAATACTTCGAAGCGATATAACTGCGAACTAAAGTAATCAGTAGTACAATTGTGTGTTGTTATTAGTGTGGTTTTAAGTTGTTATTAGTGTTATGTAATTAGTGTCAATTTGGTAATTCACTTGGCAGGTTTTATTGTCTCGAACCCCAAGCTCGTAACAATATGTACTTAATTGTACATATAGAACGACGAACACAATAAAAAAGGTTGGTTACAGTTAGAGAGAGCTGGCGTAAAGGTCTACCTGTTTTTCTGCCCGCTCTAGTTTATTTTTAGATTATAGATGTAGGTGTTAGGTCCTAATTCCCGCCCCCCTTAAAATGGTAGCGGAATTAAGTAAAGATCTAACCCAGGAGGGTACCAGCACCCCTGGAGAATCCCTCGCTGACCATCCACGACCAAATTACTCCGCTCCTGAGCGTGGGTGCTAAGGCTGCCCCGCGTATTCTGGAGGGGGGGGGGCAAAATTCCGCTCAAGACAACAACTGGTCGGGGTGAACTGAGCAGCAAGACCAAGGTGATCTCTGCCACGCTATCCGTAAATTTCTGCAATATCAGGGGACTTCATTCTAACCTAAGCGCCATCCACTACCATCTCGAGACGGCGAGGCCAGCTCGCGACGCAGGTGTCCTGTCCACATGATGCTTCGTATCTCTCCTACCCGGAGTACAAACTGGAACACTCCTTTGTGCCTCGGGCTGGAGTTTGCGTATACGTCAGAGAGGACATCTGTTCTCGACGCCTCGGCATTCTTGAAGGTTCGGACCTGTCCATCCTTTGGCTACGCGTAGACAACGACGACCATCCGCGCGTCTACGGGTCTCTCTATAGGTCCCATAGCGGTAATACCGAAACAGGCCGACTCTTCGACCACGTCCAAGTGGTTACAGATTCTTTTCTACAGCAGATCCCCTCCGCAGAGATCGTGATCTTCGGCGATTTTAACGCCCACCACGCCGAGTGGCTTGGTTCACGTTTAACTGATCATGCGGGGAGATCTGTTCATGATTTTGCCCTGGCGTATGGTCTGACACAACTGGTTACTTTACCTACGCGGATCCTAGATGTGTAGGACCATACACCTTCCCTGTTGGACTTTCTGTTGACCTCTCATCCGGACAGATATCAGATTTCCGTCGAAGCTCCTGTAGGCTCCTCGGACCATTATCTTGTCTGGAGTGTGGTGCCACTTACGCTGAAATCGCGGTTTCATTCTGCAGGCTGCCGCCGTGTTTGGCACTATAGGTCAGCCGATTGGGATGGGATGCGGTCTTTCTTTGCATTCTACCCTTGGGGGTGGGTTTGCTTCTCACCAGACGATCCCAACGTTGTTGCTGATTCTGTCGCTGATGTAGTACTTCGGGGTAAGGATTTTTTATTTCCTCCTCTGTGGTGCCCATCGGAGGCAAATCTCAGTCATGGTTTGGTCGCTCCCGTAAAATAGCATCATGCTATAAGTAGGAGTGCTACCAAGCCTGGGCTGACGCATAAACGTCCTGCGATGTAAGCACCGGCGCTCTAAAAAAGAAGTATAATTCCGCTTCCAGGTCCTTCAAAAGAGTCAGTGCCAAGGCAAAGTCAGAGCACATAGGCAGAATTGGCGAGAAACTATTTCACCTTCCTTCTGGAACCCGTGGATTCTTGTCTCTCGCCAAGGCTGTCCAAGGGAATTTCTGTCAGCCATCTCATCCATCTCTGCACAGGGAGGACGACTCACTGGCCCATGTCGCAAAGGAGAAAGCCGATCTGCTAGGCGCCTTGTTTGCGTCCAACTCGACTCTCGATGACGAGGGGAGTACGCCGCAAACCATCCATGCTCCATGCCGTAGGTGTAGTTTACACAGCGCTAGGTTTGCAAAGCTCTCCTCTCCCTGGACATCCTCAAGTCGAGTGGGCCTGACAGTATCCCCCCAATTGTGCTGAGGACGTGTGCTCCAGAGTTGGCACCGGTCTTAACGCGTATTTTCCGGTACTCCTACTCTCTAGGCGTAGTCGTAAAATCATGGAAGACGGCTTTCGTCCGCCCAATCCCTAAAAAAGGCGACCGCTCAGACCCGTCCAGCTACAGGCCCATCGTCATCACCTCCTTGTTCTCCAAAATGATGGAATCCATTGTAAACTGCCAGCTCATGAGGTACCTTGAGACTCACCAGCTGATTAGTGATCGCTAATACGGTTTCCGTCGCGGTCGATCAGCTGGTGATCTTCTGGTCACCTGACTCATAGATGGGCGGCGGCAGTAGAGTGCAAGGGGGAAGCATTGGTCGTTAGTTTGTACATTGCGAAGGCCTTCGATCGGGTTTGGCACAAACCGCTTCTTTCGAAGCTCCCTTCCTATGGGCTTCCTATGGGCTTCCCGAGAAATTTTGCAATTGGATCACCAGCTTTCTTGCAGATCGGAGCATCAAGGTCGTTGTAGACGGTGCAAGCTCCGATTACAAGCCTATTAATGCTGGTGTTCCACAAGGCTGCGTGCTATCACCAACGCTGTTTCTTCTGCATATCAATGATATGTTGCAAGCCTGTACGTTAATTGCTATGCAGATGACAGCACTGGTGATACACTGTACACCGGCCGTGCCTATATTTCTCGAGAAAACGTCTCCGAGTACTGGGACAAACTTGTGTCTGAAGTCGAGTCTTTGCTGAACGAAATCTCGGATTGGGGGCGAGTAAACCTAGTCCAGTTTAATCCTCAAAAGACACAAGTTCGCGCGTTAACCGCTAAAAAGAACCCCTTTGTCGTATGTCCTCAATTTCAAGGCACTCCCCTCGTTACCTCAGCCATTATCGGAATCCTCGGCGTCGACATATTGAGTGACGTGCAGTTTCATGGTCACTTGGAAGAGGAGGCCAAATTGGCCTCTAAAAAGCTTGGTGTCCTCAGCAGAGCGGGACAGTATTTCATGCCGGCACACCGACTGCAACTTTACAAGGCGCAGGTTCGGCCGCACATAGAATACTGTTCCCATCTCTGGGCTGGGGCTCCCCAGTACCAGCTCCTTCAGCTTGACCGCATCCAGCGCAGAGCGGCTCGAATCGTCGACGACCGAGTGCTTTCCGATCGGTTGATTCACTGGCGCTGCGAAGAGATGTTGCAGTTCTTTGCGTATTTTATCGCATCTATCACGGGGAGTGCTCTGAGGAATTGTTCGGATTCATCACAGCCGCCAAATTTCATGAACGCACTACGCGTCAAACGTCTCGATACCATTCACATCATTTGGATGCGTGGCGGTCCACCACTGTACGTTTCACAAGGAGTTTTCTTCCGCGTACGATCACTGTGTGGAATAATTTACCACCGGCGATTTTTCCGGACCGATACGACCTGGGGAAGTTCAAGAAAAGAGCTTACTCCTTTCGAAAGGCCCGGCAACGCACTTACAATTTTGCTGGTGTTACGGTTGTTCATGGGCTGCGGTAGTCACTTAACATCAGGTCAACCATATGCTCGTTTGCCCCCTCTTCTATCAAAAAAAGGCCATAGCAGCCATTTATCATTAGGTGGATTGTATGTTCGTTTCTCATCTTTACGTCTATAAAAAGACAAACACAAGTACAAAAGTACTACAAGAGGAAGTACTAAAAGGAAAGCCCTATCCAAAGTTTTTTACCAAGTGGCAGAAGCACACTACCGCTACAGGTAGTTGTAGCACTAATGGGTCGAATTGACCGGGTATGACCTCGCTCTCACACAGCTTAATGTTGCTGTGGTTCATATAGTGAGTGTAGAGAACCTGAGACCCTTTTTAATTGAAATCCATCCATCCTTAGCCCTTTTTTTTAAAAAAGAAAAAAAAAAAAAAATTAAAAAAAAAATATTAAAATTTTTTTTTCCCCCCAAAAAAAATTAAATTAATAAAAAAAAAAAAAATAAAAATTATTTTTTTTTATTTGGGACATACACTTACCATCAGATTGAATGTGGGCTCGTTTGTCATAAAAAATTTCTCGGGTGCTGGGTTGAAATAAAATACAGTAAACAATACAATCACTGTTTTTTATTTATTAATTAACAAATAAATGCAGTTTTATTAACTGTCATCACACGTTGTACTTGAATACAATTTCATTACAGAATGACCTTGAAACTTTATTCTTTCATCTTTTTACTCGGGGACTCGTCGTCCCTCGCACTGCTCCTTCTCTTCCGGTCATTGACCTCCTTCTCTTCTTTGCTCTCTTTTTCACTCTCTTCTTTAGTCTCCTGTACTGTTTTCTTGACACGCGCCTGTTCCGGCGAGTAGGCCCAGAGGAGCATTTCTAAATGCTCTTTTGTAGGTTCATCCTTTTCATTGAACAGTTTTACATCGGCGTGCTGAAAAAAGTATATATTATAATTAAGGCGAGAATGTCCGGCTTTAAAAGGCTTTAAGCGCTCCCTTCTCCGCTGGATTCGGTGGGCAAAAACTTTATTTAAAACTTTTTCACTTATAATCAGGAATCATATAGTGGCGATATAAGGATACCCACTACCCCATATCATCCCGTGGGTGTGGTAAGAGGCGACAGAGGGAAACAGCATCTTCCTGATAACAGCATAAAATTATAAAAGACGCTTGTGAACTCGCCTTCCAAGCAAAATCCATCCTATGAGGTAATCTACGGAAGGAGCTTATGTTCCGCAATCGAATTTTATAACTGTAATAATAGATGAAAGATGGGCCACAGCACCCACTTTCCATCAGGTGGGCTATGCACTCGTTCATCTATGAAAAAAAATCGTACAACTTTCTTGTGGAATCGACTACCACCAGAGATTTTTCCGGACCGATACGACTTAGGGACCTTCTAGAAAAAAGCCTACTCCTTTTTAAAAGACCAGCAACGCGTCTGCAATATCCCTGATGCTGCAGCTGTTCATGGGCGGCGGTATTCACTTATCATCAGGTGAGCCGTACGCTCGTCCGCCCCCTGTCCTATAAAAAAATTATTTCTGAGGCGGATCTCGAGGAAACCTGTGCGATATAAACAGTGTAACCATTGGGTGCGTTTGGCAGAAAAAAGCGCTAGCAAGCGCTTGTAAGCAAAATGGCGATCGTAAGCGGTAAGCGCTGTCAAATCGTAAGTAGCTATTTTCCTCCAGGACACGATGTTAGTTTTAACCAGGGAACCTAACCTAATTTAAATATATGTTTGTAAAGTATTCATATTAAAAACTTACCAATCATGAATTTATTAATAACATGTATATGTCTATTCATAACATTATATTACTTAAAACTAATATTGCACAAAACAAATTATAAACTCTACTTCAAAACAAATAAATTAAATAAGCAAAATGGCGGATTGTGTCAGCGCTACTGAAGTAGCAATCGTGTCCTGGCCGAAAACTATTTTAGCGCTTATAAGCGCTTGCTAGCGCTTTTTTCTGCCAAACGCACCCATTGTTTATATCGCACAGGTTTCCTCGAGATGTTTGGCTTCACGAGCAAGTGACAAGTAGGTAAATCATGTGAATGCAATAAAATAAGTCTAATTTTATATTTTAAGTAGATTTTCCCCGCGACTTCATCCGTGTGGAATTTATTACGATAGGATTTCATGGCTTTTAATTTTTTTTTTCGCAGCACCCTTTACTTTTTCTAAAATAAAAGTATCTTATTTACTCCTTATAACATTAGCTATCTGCCAGTGAAAGTCCCGCCAAAATAGGTTCAGCCATTTCGAAGATTAGCTGAAACAAACAGACAGACGGACAGAAAAATTTAAAAATTGTATTTTTTTTTGTATATTTTAATTGGATGGACCGTGTGTACTTTCAACAAAAAAGCTGTTTTTTGACATAACAAACAAATACTTCAATTTTATTTATTTGTTTAGTATTGATATAAGCATAAGTAGTCCTTCGAGCCGGATTTTCTCGCAAAACCAGTACCTTCTCCTTAAGATCCTTGAGTGCAGCGTTTCTCACGATGTCCCAGGTCTTGCCACCTTCCTTCTCCGCCACAGTGCGCAGACGTTTGTATTCACCATTCACTGAACTGTATGCAGCTATGAAGGCTTTCTGTGGAAAAAGAGGTCAAAGTTTTTTTTTTATAGAATAAGGGTGACAAAGGGCACACAGTACATCTAATGGTAAATGAATACTATAGCCCATAGATATGTACAGCTATCCTCGATTAAGAATCAAAATGCAGATGCGTTGTCACCCCTGAGGACTCTAAGGTGGAACGTCTTATATTCATTAAAGAGGGTCTTCGGTTCTCTACACCCACCACACAAAACACAGCAACATTAAACGCAGAATTTGCGAAAATTTTCTGTTTTCATAATGTTTAACAATCTTGGATATTTAGGCCTAATTTTAACGTTTGGCGATCGGCGTCGGCGCTCGGGTCGAGCGGGGAACGAACCTGACGGCGGAGGCGCGGGGGGTGCGGGCAGGTGCGGCCTACGGCCGCGCCGCCCTCGGTTTTTCGGACTTCACTTGTCGCAGAGCGTGGAACTGAGTAGTTGCCCGTTGTGTTAATAGCTTAGTCGCACCTCTGCCTTAACGTATATACTTCGCGAACCTGAGTAGTTTGCCGCGCGGCCCGGTGAGATTGCATTTTTCACAAAGGTCGAGTTTGTATGTGACGCGCGTTCGGTTAAATCTTGTTGGACTTTATTGGATTAACCTAATGACAATTGGCTTGTCTCCAATTAACAAGTGAGAAACGAGTGTAATTTACTAGATTCTCAAATTTTTGTGACGGACTGCCACTTCGATATAAAGAATAGAGGTGAAGCCTTGGGGTCGGCGGTTCTGCAACCAGCGGGAAGTCAGGTTACATAATTTAACACAATCCCACCACAACACAGTCAAGCACACCCACACTTACACCTGAATCTTCCTAAGGTAGACCCTACTTCGAAGAAATAGGTAAGTTTTTTTTTGGTTCCCTTTTTACCGCTAACGAGTAATATTCCACAAGCCATTTAGGCCGACCTCCTGTTACTCGTCGAGTGGAGCCCCTGATGGGCCCGGGTTCCACGAACCTTTGCCCGGGTAACTAGAGGCCGTAACAATTGGTAGCCAGAGCGCGGTTTTCCTGATGGGTTTTGAAACCACTCCCAGCTCAATACGTAACGTTTGTTGCAATACGTATTAATAATTTTGTTTTGTTCGCGTGTTATTTGTTAGCGGATAGGATCGGTGTATAGAACCGTGTAGTAACCGTATTTTTTGTTTTATTTACTTTATTCGGTCGCTTACTTTGTTAGTGGTAGGTAGAATTGTGCCACGCCCGCGGCCGGGCGTAAGCGGACTGTTTAGGTACTTACCTTAGGTTTAGGTACACGCGTCGAGTAGGGTTTATAATTACCGTTGCTACATAAGCGTGGCAATTGCAAATATTGTATACGTAATAATTATCAATTAGCGTTGTCTCGTAAACCGACTGTAGTTATTACTCGGGGAATAGTAATTTGTTTGAATTAAATTAATTGCGTAGTATAATTTACTGATTGGATAAATAGCATTTTGTATTGTATTATTTTTATTGTGATAATTAAACTAATTGTGTAAAGTAATTTGTACTAAGTTCAATTCGGTGATAATCGTACCTTGTAATGATGCCTTCACACCGGTCACCGACGCTTCGCTTACAAGCGGAACTGCGCTGGGCTGCGAATGCTCACAGCTTGATAGGGAGACCCGATAGAATCCATAGCTTGGAGAAGCGGCTCGAGCAAGTCACGGCCCGAAGGGCCGTAGTGGAGGAGGCATGCTCCGAGATTATGGCTTCGGGAGCGGAACAGGGAGTCCTAGACTCCTGTCTTTCCGACTATGAGCAATTTTTTACTCTCACGGATGACCTGATTGAGGCAGGGGCCAAGCAGGCTAGTGACGCGCGTGAAGCTCGGCTGGGTGTCCTGCTCGAGTCCCCTCGGAAGCAGCCCACTCACCCGGAGCTGTTGGGACGACTTCCCACTCTGGACCTGCCAAGGTTCTCCGGGGTCCTCTCCGAGTGGTTAACATTTGTGGGACTTTTTGACAGCCTAGTGGATGCCCGGAGGGATTTAACACCAAGCCAGAAGATGGCGTATCTCCTGGCCTCATTAGAGGGGGGAAGCCTTGGGCGTCGTCGGCCATTTGAAGGTGTCGGACGACGCCTACCTGAACGCTCGGGACCTCCTTGCCGGAAGGTATGCCAACGTACGGCGAATTGCGGACGAGCACGTCAAACTTCTGTTAAACCTCCCGTTGCTAAAGGACCGGGCCCGACTACGACCGGACATCGTAAATCCGGTCTTGGTGGCCTGCAACTCGTTGAGACGGCTGGATTTGCCGGTGGACGAATGGTCCTTTTTGTTGCTCCATATTGTGCTGTCCCGCCTACCTCTCGATCTTCGACTCCATTTTGAGGAGAGGTACGGCGGAGACGGCGCCTCCTATATTCCTCCCTTCAGGGATCTGCTGCGGTTCTTGGAGGAGCAGTGCCGGCAGATTGAAAACGCATCGGGCACCGCCGGAGATCTGCGGACTGCTAACCGAACCGTGACCAGGGAAAGGCGAAACCCCCCGGCCAAGTCGTTGTCAACCCCCCTCAGACCGAGTGGTGCTCCTGCGGGAGGGCGCCCCCCTCCTATCATCTTATAGTGGCCTAGTGGCCAGGAAGGCGCCCCCCTGCTCCTATTGTAGAGCAGCAGAACACCAGGTGACGTCGTGCCCTAAATTATTAGGCAAGCCTGCCTCAGCGAGACGAACCATCGCCAGGGAGCGCCGCTGGTGCTATTCATGTTTAGAACGGCACCTCCAACGAGACTGCCCGCACCAGCGGCCCTGTCCGCACTGCCAGGGCAAGCACCACGCCGTTTTGTGCCTGGGCGCGAACGGCTCTTTCTCTCGGGGCTCGGCTGGGCCCTCATCCCCCACGGGCGGGGGCGCCCGGCCACCCCCTCTGACAGGTGACGCTCGTCGCTCTCCTACCGACGACCCTGCCCCTGGGTTCGGAGGGGGTTCCCCTCACGACCAGTCGGGGGGTCGTTCCCCCAGGGGCGGGGGGTTCGTCACCCCCCCTCGGAGGGTCGAGAGGGACTTCGCGGCCACTCAGCGGTCAGCGAGATCCTTCTCACCCCCATTAGCAGAGAGGCCGCGACTGGAGTACCACCCCCCCCCCTTTGGTCGGTCCCGCTACTACGGGCTCCCTGAGACCTCGAAGCTGTCCAGGGCCTCCAGGCCAAGGTTCCCAGAAGCCCCCCAAGTCGGCCCGTTCTGCGATTTTCATCCACGGGTCATTGAGATGCCGCCGGAATTCCGCTTTCCGGACCCCCGGCTTGAGTGCCGGTCCGACGAAGGCAGCTCCTGCTAGGAAACTGCCGCCCTAGCTCCCACCACGGCCGCCTTCACTGATCCTTTAAGCCGTCCGCAGTCCACCTGTCAAACTGTTCTATTGCCGACGGCCGCCGTGAAGGTGTACAACCCGAGTGGCGACTGCTTAACTGTTCGCGCTCTATTGGATTCAGGTTCACAACGCTGTGTGGCCTCCACTCGGTTAGTGGGAAGACTAGGGCTCCCCCTGGAGCTCCAAATCATGCCCAATGGTAGGTATTGGAGGTGCAGAGCCTCCTGCTCCTAGGGGACAAGCAAGGCTGGTGTTTGGTCCTGCAAGCGAACACCTCCACATCTTAGTTAAGGTAAATGTCCTCGATGATATTGTAGGCTTTCTCCCTAATGCCCGTATAAATGATAGCGCGGTTTGTTGTACGTCTGGCTTGAGACCGGCAGACCCTCAATGGTCCCAACCTGGGCCGATAGATTTGTTGCTGGGGGCCGACGTGCTGGGGTTCATCCTGTTAGGCGAGATACGAGCCCTACAGCCCGATGGCTTGTCAGCCGTGTCCACTGTATTTGGGCACAGTTCTTTGGACCGGTTCTGTGGTCTCCACCGCATCAGGCAGCCGACCCGCTCCCGGTGGCGGGCGTGTCTCTTTCGGACGTCGTCCAGCGGTTCTGGGAAATTGAGGAGCCGCCACACGCGCCTCGAGTCAACCCTCTGGACCGTGAGTGCGAGTTGTTCTACCAGAACAATACCGGCCGCCGTGTCGACGGTCGCTTTGTCACCCGCTTACCCTTTCTTGACTCACGGCCTCCTTTGGGCCAATCTCGGACCATGGCCGAAAAGAGGTTGCTTTCTATGGAGCGCCGTATGCGTCGCGACACAGCCTTTCGCGACAAGTATGTCGAGTTCATGCGCGAATATCAAGAGCTGGGTCACATGTCACCTTCTCATTTCGACTGGCGATCACATGAACACTACTTCCTCCCCCACCACGCGGTTTTGAAGTCCCCTGGGAGTAAGATTCGGGTGGTTTTCGACGGCTCCGCCCCCTCGTCCAATGGGGTGTCCCTGAACCAGTGTCTCCACTCTGGTCCTAAATTGATCAAGGACATATCCGACATTTTGACCCACTTCCGTCGGCATCAAGTTGTTTTTGTAGCCGACATTCGGATGATGTTTCGACAATCAGTGGTCCACCGTGATGACCGTCGATATCAGCTGATCCTGTGGCGCGAGAAGCCCAGCGATCCGATACAAGTGTTCGAGTTGAACACCACCACCTATGGACTCCGATCCAGCCCGTATGTCGCCATGCGAACCCTCCTCGAACTAGCTGAGAGAGAGCGCCTAAGATACGCTCGGGGGGCTTCTATTTTGGAGACCTCGGTCTACATGGACGATATTTGTACGGGTGCCTCCACCGTCGAGGAGGCCCTCGTATTGCGAGACGAATTGATTGCCATCCTGAAGTCGGGAGGTTATGAGCTGCGCAAATGGTTGTCGAACTCCCCTCATATTTTGAAGGACCTCCCAGGAGAGGATCAACAAGACCCTCATCTATTCGAGCACCCTGACAATCCTAATTTGTTGACTGTGCTTGGCATTCAATATCAGCCTGTTCAGGATACCTTCACGTATCGAGTCAAGCTCGATCCCCCCCCTAAATCATGGACCAAGCGCTCTGTGTTGTCAACTGTAGCTCGCACCTTCGATCCTAATGGTTGGATTACTCCGGTCATCTTTTTGGCTAAGTGTTTCCTTCAAAAACTCTGGATATCCGGGTTGGGTTGGGACGACCCTATAAGCGGTGCTCTCTTGCGAGAGTGGCTCTCAATTGTGTCCTCCCTTCCAGACATCGACCGGGTCTCCATGTCAAGGTGCTTCCTCCCTCCAGGGAAATGCAGGGTTACCCTGCACGGGTTTTGCGACGCCTCTGAGAAGGGTTACGCTGCTGTTGTATATTTGCGGACGGTGAGCTCTTCTGGCCATACTTCCGTCCATCTCGTACTTGCTAAAAGCAAAGTGGCTCCCATTAGGTCCCGCTTAACTATCCCTAAGTTGGAACTGTCTGGAGCTGCTCTTCTCACGCGACTGCTCAACCACGTTCACTCCTCCTTGAAGTCGGTAATCGACATTACGGACGTCTACGCTTGGTCGGACAGTGAGATAGTACTTTGTTGGCTCCGAGCGGCACCTCACAATCTTGAGGTCTTCGTGTCGAACCGCGTGTCCCAAATCCAGAATTCTGTCACTTGTCTAACGTGGAGACATGTCCCAGGGGAATTGAATCCAGCAGACTGTGCTTCTCGTGGCTGTGAAGCCTCCTACTTGGTTGATCACCCGCTGTGGTGGGGGCCCGGCTGGTTAGCTGAGTCTCAGGCGTTCTGGCCCCAGAACAAATACTCTGAACCAATTGAATTGCCTGGCTTACGAGCCCGAGTAGGAGTGGTCAAGGATAAGCCCACTCGTGATCTCTCCTTACTAGAACGGTACAGCTCTCTCGACAAGCTTTTGGGAGTAACTGCTTGGTTGCGTCGATTTGTCCGCAACTCGAGAGACCCATCTAACCGAATATCTGATTCCGCCTTGTCCCCTAGCGAGCGGCGCGAAGCCTTGATGCATTGGACCCGTATGATCCAAGCGGAGCATTTCGAGCTCGTGATTGATACCTTGAAGCGGGGCTTAGTTGTCAAGGGTGCGCTGGCCCGCCTGAACCTCTTCCTGGATGACTCGGGGATGCTTCGCGTGGGCGGACGTTTGAAAAATTCTCAACTGCCGTACGAGGCTCGACACCCGCTACTGCTCCCCAAGGACGGCGCCTTTGTTCGGTTGCTGGTAACTCACTACCATGTTCAGAATGCCCACGCTGGGTGCAACGCTCTTTCGGCCATTTTGCAGCGGGAGTTTTGGATTTTGGCGGGTCGACGCACCATTCGGAGCGTCATCTTTAAGTGCATATCTTGTTATAAGTTGAAGGCCCCCATATCACAGCCGATGATGGGCGACTTACCACCCGACCGCGTCAGGGCCATCCGACCATTCGCGGGAGTCGGAACTGACTTCGCTGGCCCCTTCCTCGTCAAGTCCTCTAACCTTCGTAACGCTCGTGCTCATAAGGCCTATCTGTGCGTTTTCGTGTGCCTCTCCACTAAGGCTGTTCACTTAGAACTTGTAAGTGCCCTTAGCACGGAGGCCTTTTTGTCCACACTGGGTCGCTTCGTATCGCGTCGCGGTTTACCGGACCTGATCCGGTCGGATTGCGGAACGAATTATAAGGGTACTGATAGGTATTTGAAGGAGGTCGTTGAATTTCTGTCTAGCAACAGGACCTATTTAACTACTGCGATGTCCAAGAAGGGCATCCAGTGGAAATTCGACCCTCCGGCTTGCCCACACTGGGGCGGTATCTTTGAGGCGGTGGTGAAGGTTGCAAAGACGCATCTCCGTCGCGTTATTGGCGAAACTATTTTGACATTTGAAGAGCTTGCCACTGTATTCTGTAAAATTGAAGCAGTCCTCAACTCTCGGCCCCTCTGTCCTCTCTCGTCCGATCCGAATGATTTAGAGGTTCTAACCCCTGGCCACTTCCTGATAGCCCAGCCGCTTAACGCCCTGCCCGAGTACCCCTTCCGGGAAATAATCTCTTCGCGGTTGAGCAGATTTGACATGCTGCAACAAATAACTCAGAGTTTTTGGCACCGATGGTCTCTGGAGTACCTACATCTTTTGCAGCAGCGCGTTAAGTGGTCTGACAAGACGGACCCCCTCGGGTTGGAGACCTCGTGTTAGTTAAAGAACCTAACGCCTCGCCCTTGTATTGGCGCCGTGGGCGCATTGTCAAGTTGTCGTATGGACCGGATGGGATTCCTAGGGTGGCCGAGGTTTTGGTTGGAGATTCGGTTTTGCAACGTGCCGTCTCTACCCTATCCCGTTTGCCAATTTACTCGCGGACCTAGATCCTCATGTCCGGGACGGGGGGCTTGTTTAGGCCTAATTTTAACGTTTGGCGATCGGCGTCGGCGCTCGGGTCGAGCGGGGAACGAACCTGACGGCGGAGGCGCGGGGGGTGCGGGCAGGTGCGGCCTACGGCCGCGCCGGCCTCGGTTTTTCGGACTTCACTTGTCGCAGAGCGTGGAACTGAGTAGTTGCCCGTTGTGTTAATAGCTTAGTCGCACCTCTGCCTTAACGTATATACTTCGCGAACCTGAGTAGTTTGCCGCGCGGCCCGGTGAGATTGCATTTTTCACAAAGGTCGAGTTTGTATGTGACGCGCGTTCGGTTAAATCTTGTTGGACTTTATTGGATTAACCTAATGACAATTGGCTTGTCTCCAATTAACAAGTGAGAAACGAGTGTAATTTACTAGATTCTCAAATTTTTGTGACGGACTGCCACTTCGATATAAAGAATAGAGGTGAAGCCTTGGGGTCGGCGGTTCTGCAACCAGCGGGAAGTCAGGTTACATAATTTAACACAATCCCACCACAACACAGTCAAGCACACCCACACTTACACCTGAATCTTCCTAAGGTAGACCCTACTTCGAAGAAATAGGTAAGTTATTGTTTGGTTCCCTTTTTTACCGCTAACGTGTAATATTCCACAAGCCATTTAGGCCGACCTCCTGTTACTCGTCGAGTGGAGCCCCTGATGGGCCCGGGTTCCACGAACCTTTGCCCGGGTAACTAGAGGCCGTAACATTGGATATTAAAAAAATTAATGAAAACCTAAGTGACCAATTATTTTGAAAAAATGTGTTTAAATTAGATTTTAAAATGGTATAATTCATTATTGTATTTAGTGTAAATAGAAAATTAATGCTAATTTGAACATCAAAAGAAGTCAATTTTACCAGACAACAAAATTTTGTCAAGGAAATTTTTATTAGAACGACTATTTATCCATTCATAACAGGACATCCTGTATATAGTTTATAACAAATGAAAAAAAAAACTGTAGAATAACATACACACATCAAAAAAGTTTTCGATGAGTTTGAAAAATCGAAATCTTTTTTTTGTTACGTTAGACTAAAAGTATTACAACTTTTTCTTCTTTTTAGATTCTTTCACACATCGAGCTCAACGAGTCAATGCTGCCCTCTGAGAATACGTCACAAGATTGAATTACGCTTGATTGAAACCCAATAGTGCACGCGTGAGATATTCTTAAGCAAGCTGTTTGGACCAGTGCCAGAGATCAGGGAGGCCGCTATTGAAGAATGGGCCAGGATACCGCATGAAATGCCGGATAACCTGATCCTCAGCATGCCCAGGAGGATCTGCACGTGTTTGAGCCGGGGTGGGAGTTATATTGTTTTAAATAAAAACCTTCTATTAATAAATTTTTGTTACAATTACATTAAGATTTAATTACAAAATTTTGTTATTAAAAATAAAAAAAGGGTTTTATTTTTTAAAATACTAGAAGAGTTTATTATTTAAAAAAAAGATATTATTAAAAAAAACGTAGAAACTTTTTCTTGATAAAGTAATATTTTAAAAATATATCAGCTTTTACTAGTGATCACAAACTTTTTTTGATGTGCCTGTGATAAGAACTGCAGTTAATTTATATATTTAAATACAAATATAGTATGCCAACTATTTCCATAGCCGTAGAACCGCGATTACACTCATAGTCTGCTATTTAAGGATACCTGTCTTTTTATAAGGGAAGTTGATCGAGCAAGTAGATGAGTTTGTATATTTGGGATGCGAACGACGAGTGAACGCAGGAAATACAGTAAATGGGACGCTACACTCTATTGTAAAGAGTCAAAAAGGCACGTATGGCCATTCACAGTGCTGTGTTGGTCCTTACTTTAACGTATGGTAGTGAAAGTTGGGTGTGGCAGAAGAAGCACGAGAGTAGAATAAACGCAGTAGAAATGCGGTCGTTAAGGAGTATGTTAGGGTTGAATCTGAGTGACAGGGTGAGAAATTGTGTGATTAGAGAAGAGTGTAGTTTGCAAGATGATGTTGTGACCAGGATTAAGAAAGGAATGCTTCGGTGGTTTGGTCATGTGGAAAGAATGAATGAGGAAAGAGTGACAAAGAAAATTTATGTTGCAGAAGTGAATGGCAGAGTCGGAGAGGGACGTCCTAGGCGAAAATTAATCGACCAAATTAGCGATTTATCAAAAGCGGGCCTAATTAGGAGTATCTTAATCGACAAGCATGTATGCGTATATATATATATATATATATATATGGATGTGGAGGAGGCGAGAGAGGTGTGTCAGGATCGTGCTAAATGGAAGTCTGTAGTCTCTGCCTACCCCTGTGGGTGACAGGCGCGAGTGTTTATGTATGTATGTTTTTTTATCTGTTATGATATATAGTTATATAATCTCTGTAGAGATAATATAGTCTCTGCAGAGACGGGCCATCAATACCTGTTGGTCCGTCGCGGAGTCGGGCGCCATGTTGAGACATGTCCGCACGATGCCGAGGCTCAGGTACGGGTTGTTCTGCTTGCTCAGGTGCATCGTGTCGAAGTCGTCGAGGAACTTGTCGAACACCGACATCGCCTCCTTTATATTTGATAGTTTGGTCTCGTCGCGCGTGCCTGCACCAGAAATAGATTTCTTTTATTAATTATTGGTTATATATAATACTTATTCAAAGACAGTTAATAAATTCTTTATTTGCCTCAAATCTTTTAACAATTTAAATGTAACCCTGGCTACTAAACTAGTTGTAACAACTGTATCTTAGAAACCAGGGTCTTCCCCTATTAGTGGTACAATTACAATTGATTTATTAATAGTTCGGAAAATACTTCTGTCGTAGGAAGAACCAGGCAGAAACACAGTGGGATCTTTAAATTCCCGCTATGAAAATCAACGATTTTCAAAATATCGTTGTTTTCACCCCGGATTTCGAAAATTGAGTTCTCATCAGATCTAGACATTTCGAGGTCTTAGAAAGCTATTCTGGCTATTTTTGTGACAATGTCCGTATGTCTGTGTGTTCGTCTGCGTGCGTGTGTGTGTAAAACATCTCATGACTTTTGCGGCATCTGAAAGAAACTCGCTGAACTTAGGGTATGTTCCAAAATACAACCCAGTACACTGGCAAATGCAAATGACGTCATCAATTGACACTATATTGTACTGGCGTGCCGCCGCCATATTGTGTCGGATATCCGGCCATAATAAAACAATTTTTAATTGTGTGTGCGCTGAATGAAGCATGCCAGAATTTGTTATTATTTATTCAAATACAAAAAATTATAGAATAATTGCTGGTATCTCCATTAGGAAGATATAATGATTTTTGGAGCACGAAATTACAAAATAATCGACAACACTTTTCCAATATGGCGTAAATGTATGACGTCATATACTGGCCTATGTGAACGGTGCGGGAAAAAGCGCTACAATAAGAAATAAATGAATAGAGTTATAAGTTTTTTCAATATTAGTTTTAATAATATAATGACTAAATACAAAAAAATTCGATTGGGTTAATAAATACTTTACAAACAATTAAATTAGGTTAGGTTCCCTGGTTAAAACTGACTTCGTGTCCTAGAGGAAAATAGCTACTTAACAGTACTACCTTTTTAAACGCTTCTACCTTTTCTCAACAACGAATCACCAGTAAAGCGTCGATTCATGACGTTATTTGCATTGGAAAGTACACTGGATTCTATTTTGAAACATATCCCTAGTTTATCTGTGAATTTAGACCGGATCGTCAGGGTATATTCTTAAAAAAAGACCTCAAAAATGCGAGTTGTTTTAATTTTCAAACTGTGGTTTATTTGAAATTACTTCGACACCCTTGTTTTGATCAATTCTATAATCTAATCAGCTCTACTCAAAAACGATGCGAATGCCGTGAACCGCATTGTAATCGGTTGCTTCGTTCGAGGGATATCGTTGTCAAAAGAAATCTCGAAAAAGAGTTTTTTCATAATAACTTGAAAAAATTTCACCAAATCAATTTTTTTGTGATAAATGGTTTTGTTAAGCTCAACAAACTGCACGCAACGTCCTTAAATAAATACAAACTTCAAAACGAAGCTAACCATGGTTCCCAAAAAAGTTACGCAATCGCACTGTTGTAATTGGTTTCACTAAATTATAATAGAAAGAGACAGGTGTAGGGATAATTAATATCAATGTTAAGGGAGCGTTAACATCAGCTTACAATCATGTATGTTACATAAATATCACGGTAGTGATGACCTCATTCTCAGAAGTCCATTATCGCATAAGCAAATATTATATCAACTTTTAGAACGATTCAAATTAATTGTCGGCAAAATTAGGTACAGTCGCATATTTTGTTATTGATGGTTAATTATTTTATTTATTTATTTACTCTTTATTTTACACCAAAATACAAAACATCAAGTACAATTAAAACTAAATTAGAATATGTACAATAGGTTATATATCGTAAAAGGCGACAGAAGGAACCGAAATAGAAATGAACAGTAGCATCTTTTATACGTGGTAAAGCCACGCTGCAGTTATATTATGGTTGTAGCACGAATGGGTCGGCTCGGCTGGGGAAGGACCACGCTCTCACAGAATACCAGCGTAAAATAGCACCTTAATGCTGCTGTGTATCGTATGGTGAGTGTAGAGAACCGGAGACCCTTTTTACTGGAAACGAGGCATTCCATCTTAGTCCTCAGGGTTGACCGGGCATCAGGACTGTGTTTTTTTTTTTTTTTTTTTTTTTTTTTTTTTATAGGATAGCGTGACAAACGAGCACACAGTCCACCTGATGGTAAGTGGTTGCTGCGGCCCATAGACATCTACATCTATCTTCCATTACAAATCAAAATGCAGATGCGTTGTCACCCGTGAGGACTGAGATGGAATGCCTCATTTCCAGTAAAAAGGGTCTCCGGTTCGTTAGTCACCCTTATTCTGTATAAAAACTCTTCCTGACAACTTAACATTATAAAAACTGCGCTCGCCGTACGGCCTGCTATTATTATTACTACTATTGCAATCAATTGACTTTACAACATTTACACCTTCACTTTACAAATTGAAGAGTTTAAAGGTTTTCATATACATATACGTGACGTTTGTAGTATAATTATACGAAGTATAATAACACTTCGAGTATAAATACTACGAAGTATAGTACGAAGTATAAGTACAATTATACTTCGAACAGTCACACCAATTGTTAAAGTCACTGCTCACATAACCAGAAATCACACACAAACGCCTGCAAGCTTTTCATGAAATTATTATAATATTTCAAATTACATTTACTCCCTAATGCTATATCTTGCCTTGCCTTGTTATTTATTGAAGTGAATTCGCCATAGATGCTGCGCTTGACAGCGCGGTTACCAACCTCAGTTTTGTGTTATTTTGAGTTGTTATCAGGAAGATACTGACACCCAACACTAATTTCAATTTTCTTTTGTCGCATCTTATGACACCTACGAAATTATATGATTTAGTGGATATTCTTACACGAAGCGGGCTCGAAGGACCAAATTGTTGGCGTAGTGGGAGAAGGTTTATGTTCAAAAACGACACTTATGTAACTTCAGTCTGCATCTAACTAATATTAGATGTAGAATGAAGTTGCCCACGTTATCGTCATTGCGTCTGACTGACTTGGTCGCGGTGACAACTACACTACAGAGCATTTCGATGAATAATTAGAAATAATGGTATTTAGCGGAACTGTTCCTAACAGAAAATAACTTCCTAACTGCCGCATGGCGCAGCGGACACGCGTGTTTGCGTGTGTGAGTGAGTGTGTGTGTGTGTGTGTGTGTGTGTGTGTGTGTGTGTGTGCGTGTGTGTGTGTGTGTGTGTGTGTGTGTGTGTGTGTGTGTGTGTGTGTGTGTGTGTGTGTGTGTGTGTGTGTGTGCGTGTGTGTGTGTGTGTGTGTGTGTGTGTGTGTGCGTGTGTGTGTGTGTCTGTGAAGAATAATTTAAATCGAATAACGTCGTAAATAATTGACGCTGAATATACATAAAAATATTCCAAAGAGTTAAGAAAACTCCATCTTTTTGAAGACGGTAAAAATCAAATACATGCAGAAGATGACAAAGCCAATACTTACAAGTCAACACCCTCTTCGCCCTTCCTAATAATCCTTTCACAGCCAACTTCTGATAATCAGGGTCCCTCCCCTCCAGTTCCTTCAAAGTACTCTCAGCTGTCGCTTTGTCCTTGAAGCCTAATCCGGGCACTGTGTCCGGTGGGAGTTCCTTCTTCTCCTTAGACTTGTCTTCCATTTCCACATCAGAGCCAGACTCCTGAAAAGTGTTTTGAAATGAGATTAAGTAGTATCTATTTAAAAGAAGGTTAGGGGTAAAATTCGCAATAAACAGTAGAAGCAGAGTGACCGACATAGCCCAACGGATTAGTAAGGTGAAGTGGCAATGGACCGGCCATTTCACTCGAAGAACCGACAACCGATGGGTAAGAAAGATTCTCGTTTGTCAGTCTGGTACCGGTAGGCGAAGTGTAGGGCGGCCACCCACTAGATGGAGTGACGACCTGGTAACACATGCAGGAAGTCGATGGATGCAGGTGACTCAGCCCCGTGTTTTGCAGTGTTACTTGGGGGAGGCGTAATGATGATGGTTACTTTTCAACTTCGATTAAGAATATAACAGACACCAACATCTATCCTTGATTAGAAATCAAAATGCAAACGCGTTGTCACTCCTAAGAACTGATATGAATACCTCGTCATCAGTATAGTCTCCGGTAGTGTCCGACCGAATGAACGAAGACTCGCCTTCGGCCACCTTCGGCCTAAAAACCATCTTCGGCTAAACTTTTGGCTTCGACCAAAATGGCCCGACGCCCAAATTGAACGAACTGTTAGGAATGAGCAAGAGCGCGATGCACGTGGCGACGCAATTTTTATCATCTCTAGATCAACTTACAAGTATCACTAAAATTAAACTCGCTGTAAATCTCGCAGAAGGTATACAAGCAACAAAAGATTCGCGCTGGCACCAATGAAATTGTTAATTGCAATTTTAAGTGCTGATTTACCACGTGCTCCGCGGTGAAGGAAAACATCGTGATGAAACCAGCATGTCTGAGGAATAAAAAAAAATATTTCGAAGACATGTGAAGTTCGCCAACACGCATTGGGGCAGCGCGACGGACGCTTACTTGCCCTAAAACCCTCTCAGAAATGGGTGAAGGCCTGTGCCTAGCAGTGGGACGTTCCTTTATAAACCTTTAATTCTATATAGGTCGTAACTATTTACGTATTTTATTGCATCTATCACGGGGAGTGCTCTGAGGAATTGTTCGGAATAATCCCAGCCGCCAAATCGCATGAACGCACTACGCGGCAAACCTCCCGATACCATCCACACCATCTGGATGCTTGGCGGTCCAACACTGTACATTTCACTAGGAGTTTTCTTCCGCGTAATTCTCTGTGGAATAATTTACCATAGGCGATTTTTCCGGACCGATACGACTTGGGGACCTTCAAGAAAATAGCTTACTCCTTTCTAAAGGGCCTAAACGCACCTGCAATTCCCCTGGTGTTGCGGTTGGTCATGGGCGGCGGTAGTCATTTAACATCACGTGAGCCGCATGCTCGCTTGCACACTCTTCTATATAAAAAAAAAAAACTTTATAAACCTTTAATTCAAAAATTTTAAAATCATTTATATTGTTAATTTTAGCTAATCTTGAATTGAATTTCTTAAGGTCTTTAAGCCGGCCGGTTGCATTTTTTGGCTTTGGTCAAAGGTTGTGGAGACAGCTGATTGATTGGCTGATACGAAATGTAGCACTATTTAATTGTGTTTTAAACTAAAAAGGCTAACCTTATCCTTTTCATTGTCTTCGCTGTTCTTTTCTTTTTTCTCTTCTTTTTTATTCTCTTTTTTCTCAGACTTCTTCTCTTTGTCCTTTTCTAGATCCGCGAGCCAGTTCTCGAACACCTCCATCGCCTCTTTTATGTTTTTAATCTTTTCTTCCGCCTTTGTCACTATAGATTTTAAGAGTTTCATTAATTTTACTAAAGTACTAAGTAAGGGACGTACATGGAAAAATAGTAGGTTAAGTAGATGTTTGGTATTTAGACAAGTGTTGTAAATTATTAGGTATTGGTACGATCGCGAGCGGCACATGTGTAGATAATTCCGTTTATCTAATTCTGCGGGCCGAGCGGATTCGGCGTCCCCGAGCACCGAAACACCCGGATAGGCGTACATTCCTGGGTTACAATTATGTGAAATGTACTCCCCGGTAACGCCAGTTAACAATTTAATTTTTAAATAATATAAAATACTTGGCACATATCACCAACCCCTCCTTTCCCTAATCCTTCCTATATGCACCTACTGGGACTCAAGCGCCAGACGGCGGCAGTTAGTAGTAAACGAATAAAAACCGCGACCGCACGAAGTACATTGCGTTCTTCGATCTCCTTTTTAATGTTATTCATCGCCGGACATTGCGTCCGAGTAATTTCTCGAATGTGACGCGCTCTTCCGCGATTACAATAAGTCAAGAGATAAGGAGTGCATGAATTCCTGGAACTTATTTAGAAGTGGGTGCGCCGATTCAAGTGGTTGAGCTGCTCTGTTAACTCATACTCTGAGAGGAAAGCGAGGCCTCACAAGGTTAGCTTTTGTTAATAGCATAAGGGTGACAAACGAGCACACAGTCCACCTGATGGTAATTGGATGCTGTGGCACATAGACATCTACACTTATCGTCGATTAAGAATCAATTCACTACGCAGATGCGTTGTCACTTCTGAGGACTAAGACGGAATGCCTCGTTTCCAGTAGAAAGGGTCTCCGGATCTCTACACTCACCATACGAAACACAGCAGTATTAAATTGCTATTTTACGCTGGTATTCTGTGAGAGCATGGTCCTGCCCCGGACGAGCCGTTTCATTCCTGCTACAACTACAATATTTCTGCAGCGTGGCTCTATCACTTAAAAAAGTGCGTGCTTTCCACTCTTCTCCACTTTTCTCGCTCTGCTTGTCGTATCTACTGATACATTCTACGAAATCTTTATCGAATAAACTCACGTTATTGGCGCGTCCACTCCTTATGAGATAATGTGTTCTTTTTTAAAATATTAAACATAGGTGACAAACGAACACACGGTTTACCTGATGGTAAGTGAGTGCTGTATCTCATAGACATCTACATCTATCCTCGATTAAGAATCAGAATTCAGTTGCATTGTCATCCCTAAGGATTAAGATGGAATGCCTAGTTTCTAGTAATAAAGGTCTCCTGTGGGAGGCCTATGTTCAGCAGTTGACTTTTAATAGGGTGTAATTAATGAATTAATTAATAACGAGATGGATATTGTGCCATCTGTCAGATGTCATAATATTTTTGGCATTTGTCATAGTCGCCTCCTACGACACTAACGGTACAAAGTGAGGCAATGGATTATTTCACTAAGGAACAAGAAAAAACATCAGTGGACTGGAGACGGCGAAGCCGCCCTTGCTCTTTTTAACCGATACTCCGGTGTCCTCTCCGGCTGGTACTTCATAGCTCTCCAACCCAGGGTACAAATTAGAGCACTCCTTTGTGCCGCGGACATCTGTTTTCGATGCCTCGGCAACCCTGAAGGACGGACCTGTTCATTATATGGCTGCGCGTAGACAGCGACGAACATCCGCGCGTCTACGGGTGTCTCTATAGGTTACTGGTTACGCTAGGTTACCATAGCGGTACTGCCGAAACAGACTGACTCATCGACGACGTCCAAATGGCTACAGATTCCTTGCAACAGCAGATCCCATTCGCAGACATCGTGATCCTTCGCGATTTTAACGCCCACCATGCCGAATGGCTCGATTCACGTTTAACCGATCATACGAGAAGATCTGTATCGTACATTACCTTGGCATATGGTCTTAGACAGCTGGTTACTTGTCATAGTCGTTTTATACGACACTCACGGGACAAAGGGAGGCGATGGATTATTTCACTGAAGTAGAAGAAAAGCCTTGGCAGAATCTCTATAGTCGTAAAATAGACTGGAGAACACCACAAGGGTATAAGCGGTATACATGGTAGAGCCACGCTGGGTCGTGGCTCTACCATGTATACCGCTTATGCAACTATATCGTGGTTGGCGCACGAATGGGTCGGCTCGATCAGGGAAGGAACTCGCTCTCACAGAATACGATTTTGAAATACCAGCTCAATGCCACTATGTTTCGTATGCTGAGCGTGGTTCCGCTGCAAAGCGTGGCTCTACCACGTATACCACTTACGCAGCTATATTTTGGTTGGAGCACGAATAGATCGGCTCGATCAGCGAAGGAACTCGCTCTTACAGAATACGAGCGTGAAATACCAACTTAATCCTGCTATGTTTCGTACGGTGAGTGTAGAGAAACGGAGACCCTTTTTCCAGTAAAAAGGGTTTACGGTTGATTGAAGGAGACATTTCATCTTAATAAATAATCATAATGCTCTTCATACTAGGTCAGACACATTCTGTCTTAGTTCTTAAGGTTGACAACACATCTACACTTTGTTTCTTAAGCGAGGATACATGTAGATGTCTATGGGTCGCTGCATCCACTTATCATCAGTTGAACTTTGTGTTTGTTTGTCACCCTCATTCTACAAGGTAAAAGTGTAAACACCGTCGTCACTAAAACCATAGGTATTTGGCTTTAATATAAAAATATTTTACCGAATTTAAAAAAAAGAAAATGCTATTTTCTTTCATAAAATTAAAAAAGCTTCTGTCCGACACCGTCCGTAAATTCATGGATACCCTATGCTCCCGAGTGACGTAATCACTGTAAAGATCACCGCCCGCCCTAGCTACATACACAACATTCCAATAAAAACACAATAGGTACACATAACCTGTGATGTAACTATTCCTTCATAATTTCATCCCGGCTTAGGACAGGCAAAAATTGAGGAATTAAGGAAAAATTGAGATTTTACTAAAAAAATGTTGTTTTTTTCATAGAATTCACGTTCTATAAGCGAAACCAAGCCACTGGTTTCAAGGATAACGGTGTTTACACTAACACCCTGTTGAGTTCATCACTTACTTGAGAGTACCCGCTTGGCTCTCCCAAGGAGACCCCTGACGGTCAATCTTCTGTAGTTGGGATCGTGCTCCTCCAAAAGGCGTAGCGTTTCCTCGGCCTTCGCCTTGTCCTTGAAACCGAAACCGGAGTCTTCTTTTTCATCCTTGCCCATTGTTCTGTAAGAAGTTCAAGAAGATTATTTCAGTTCACTTTACTGCGTAGTAGAACTCTTGTTTCATTTAGAATAAAATAGAATTATTATTTTTACCTAAGAATCAATCTTATTGAAAGTATTTTTTAAACTTTTTTTTCATAGAATATGGGTGACAAACGAGCACACAGTCTACTTGATGGTAAGTGGATGCTGTAGCCCATAGACATCTACATTTATCCTCGATTAAGAATCAAAACGTAAATGCCACCCCTGAGGACTAAGATGGAATACCTAGTTTGCAGTAAAAAAGCGGTCTCCGGTTCTCTACACTCACCACACGAAACACAGCAGCACTTTAGCATTTTTCCACTGGTTCGGAAAAAACCTTTGTACTGAGAAGAATTAGCAAGAAATCCAGCAATCCAACAATTTCAAAGTATATTATACAATAAGTTGTACAAATTATACTTATAAAACTTATTTAAGAAACAGCTTGGAAGCGATTACTTCATTCCCAGGGATTATTATCAACCACGTATTCATTTATACTATAATAACCCTTTTATACAGTTTTTATAAAGACTCACGCCTGTCACACAGAGGGGTAGGCAGAGACTACGGACTTCCATTTGGCACGATTGTCACCTTTACACGTCTCCTTTACATCCATCTATCTACGCATGCACGCTCGCCGGTTAAGGGTACTCCCAATGTGGCTCATCTTTAAAATATCGTCAATTTGGTCGATAAACCTTCTTCTAGGGCGTCCCTTTCCAACTCTGCCGTTCACATCTGCAATATAAATTTGCTTTGTCACTCTTCCCTCGTTCATTTTTTCTACATGACCAAACCACCGAAGCATTCCTCTCTTAATCCTTGTCACAACACCATCTTGCACACAACATTTTCTCTTATCACGCAATTTCTCACCCTGTCATTCAGATTCAGCCCTTACATACTCCTTAAAGATCGCATTTACACATTTATTCTACTTTCGTGCTTCTTTTGCCACATCCAACTTTCACTACCATACATTAAAGCAGGGATTAACACAGCATTATTTATGAATACCATACCATACGTGCCTTTTTTGACACATTATGATTCTTCATAATACAGTGTAGAGCCCCATTCACTCTATTTCCTACATTCACTCGTCGTTCTATATCTTTATCATATACATCCCTGCTAAATACACATCCCAAATACACGAACTCGTCCACTTGCTGTCAACTCCCTCAATCAATAGTTTTTGTTTAATTAACTAATTAAACTTCATAATACAGACTTCTCGATTTTTATTTGAGTGCTCTGGATTAACATTGAGTTACGCCACCGAGGGCCACGGGTTCGCATCTTGCACGGAACAAGTAGCTGTATGCCCTACAAATAATTGTTCCGGGTCTGGACGTTTGTCATGTGCAATTTTTGTTTGTACACTGCCTCCACGATATAGAATCTGGATCGATGGATCGGATGGAGGATCTGTGGAGTCGAGAAACTGGTATCGCTAGCCAATGAGTTGTATAGGAGTTCGACTGGACACACTGTTGTGTTCCAGTATATAGCACCCAATAACCCAGGCTGTTAGGCATTTCATCATAGTCCTCAAAGATAACAACGCATCTGTGGTCTACTTTACTTTTCAGTCATCAATAAAAAAATATAAAGATAGATTATTTATAATTGTTTTATAAAAAAATAAAATGCTATTGCTGAAAACCCTTTACATTAATAATTTTCTTCCGACTTCAAAAAGGAGGAGGTATTCGACTGTATGTTTTTTCATGTATATGTAAAGTAAAGTAAAGTTACAGCCTATATACGTCCCACTGCTGGGCTCAGGCCTCCCCTCATTTCTGAGAGGGTTTAGGGCAAGGAAGTGTCCGCCACGCTGCCCAAATGCGTGTTGACGAACTTCACACGTCTTCGAAATATTTTTCTTATTCCTCAGACATGCAGGTTTTCTCACGATGTTTTCCTTCACCGCCGAGCACGTGGTAAATCAGCACTTAAAATTGCAATTAACAATTTCATTGGTGCCGGCGGAGATCGAACCCGGGTTACTCTCGCGTTCTGTTATATTTACAGCGAGCGTTAACCACTGAGCTACCACGGCTCATGTATATGTACCTCGGAACAATTGTCTGGTTGTACCGATTTTGATGATTCTTTTTTTATCTGAAAGCTGGTGCTTCTCGTGTGGCCTCATATGAATTTAATCAAGATCTGACCAGTAGTTTTTGAGTTATCTTTAATAATGCGTATTTAATTGACTTCGAATACATTGATTCGGTCGTATTGAAGTCGGTTGTACAAAATTTTTAATTTTACCACTTGTTTAGAAAACTTATCGTCAAAATTAAGAATTACGTAAATATTAACTGGTTTTTGTAAAATGCTAAGCTTCAATTTAATCGACGTCTACTCGTAAATAAGAAATGCTTAAGGTTTCTATCTCTCTCTTTTTACTGACAAAAGAAATAGACAGATACAGAGGTAATTAATTTTTAATTCAAGTAAACGATAATGAATGATTTTAAGTAAGACCGTACATGTATAAGATTTGCATATGTTTACATATATCTAATATGTTAATGTTTTACGCTTAACATTTTACAAAGGTACCTGTATGAATTTATACAACGTTAAACACCGTGTCGTGGTGGTGTTAGAAAATCCACTACACCATATCGTCCCGTGGGTGTCGTAAGAGGCGACAGAGGGAGACAGGCAGGAGATTGGCAGCAGTATCTTCCTGATACCAGAATACTGCGGTTGCTGACCCACCTGGTAAGTGTGGCAACTGTGGCTAAATCCTCCCTATGAGGCGATCTATGGGGGGGGGGGGGCATTTCCAGCAGTGGACTTTCTTCTTAAACTTTAACTTCAAAAGCCGAATGGATGAACTTGAAACGTTAAATAGGAATAATGAATAAGGTGGCTAACCGTGGTATATCCCGCTGGACGTTCCTGCTAATCGCGCACTGTAATCTATACAAATAAATTCCATACGCGGTAGAGCCACGCTGCAGCTTTAATATGGTTTTAGCACGAATGGGTCGGCTCGACCGGGGAAGGAGCAAGCTAACACAGAATACCAGCGTGAAATAGCAGCTTAATGCTGCTGTGTGTCGTATGGTGAGTGTAGAGAACCGGAGACCCTTTTTACTGATAACGAGGCATTCCATCTTAGTCCTCACGGGTGACAGCATCTGCATTTTGATTCCTAATCGAGGATAGATGTAGACGTCTGGATGTATGTGGTTATTCCCACAACGGAGGTATTTTTCGAACCAGTAGTAAATAAAAAATGTCTTTCAACAGATATTACGTAATAATATAAAGTACCCGGCTGACCGAGCTTTGCTCGGTATTTTTCGCTCGGTTTTTTTTAATTCGTGTGTAATGGAAATTATATTTAGATACAAATTACATACCGATGAAATACGAAAAATATTTTTTACATACATAGACATAATATAGACATAATAGAAAAAACTGAACTGGTTATTTGAATAAAAAAATCATGAATGCAATTAGTTTAATTTAAATTTTCGAGTTTTTAAAAAATACGAAAAAAGGGCACGAAAAAATAGATTTTCTCAAAAAAAGAAAGGAACTTGAAAAAAAAAATTTAAAAAAGTCGGTCGGTCGGTCTGGGCACGAACCATGGTATTACGATTTTGTGCCCGCCCAATATACCAATTAAACTATTTGTAATCATTAATAAACTGTCAAAATTTACCTTCTTATTCTAACGATATTGTAGCAGTTTTTCATTGCCTAAAAACACGGACAAAAAGACATTTTCAAAAAATAAATCCTAGCTAGATCGATTTAGTGCCCCCCGAAACTCCCTGCACACAAAATTTTTATGAAAATCGTTGGAGCCGTTGCCGAGATTCCGATTAAATATATACAAGAATTGCTCGTTTAAAGGTATAGGATTAAATAAAAATTATTATATTATTCTATTCTATTCCCTTGAGGACATAAATGGAATACCTCGTTTCCATACAGTCTCCAGGACTAAAAAATGCCTTCCCCGGTCGAGCCGACCCATTAGTGCTACAACCATAATGTAGCGTGGCTCTACCACGTTGAAAAACGGTGCCTACGGTGACGTAACTTTTTATTCCTTTTCTGTATCACCTGTACAAATAAACAATTGTGCGTAAAATTCATTAAAACAAAGATGAATATTTGTTTTTAGATTAAACACACTGCTTGTAGTCTCCTTGTTAATTATTAGGTATATTGAAAATACATTCATCATCATCATCATTACAGCCCTTCACAAGTCCACTGCTGAACATAGGCCTCCCCCAAGGAATGCCACAAAGCACGGTCCTGAGCCACCTGCATCCATCGACTTCCTGCAGGTCTCACCAGTTCTTCACTCTATCTAGGGGGAGAGGCCCTACACTTCGCCTACCGGTACGATGCTGCCACTCAAGAAACCTTTTTTCCCCAACGGTTGTCGGTTCTTCGAGCTATATGGCCTGCCCACTGCCACTTCAGCTTACTAATCCGTTGAGCTATGTCGGTCACTCTGGTTCTACTGCGGATATCCTCATTTCTAAGTTTATCACGCAGAAAAACCCCGAACATAGCCCTCTCCATAGCTCGCTGAGCGACTTTGAGCGTCCTCATAAAAAAGTCCACATTAAAAGTAGTGAAATGAAATAAATTCGTATTAATTTCGTATTCCATCCATTACAGCCTATTAAAGTTGACTGCCGAAGATAGGCCTCCCCCATAGAGTTGCCACGTTTAGCATCAGTGTTGGCAACCGCTCTACGTGGTAGAGTCACGCTGCAGCTACGAATGTGTCGGCTCGACCGGGGAAGGGCCACGCTCTCACAAAATACCAGCGTAAATGTTGCACTTTAATGCTGCTGTGTTTCTTCCATCTTAGTCCTCACTGATGACAACGCATCTGCATTTCGATTCGTAATCGAGGATAAATGTAGATGTCTATGGGCCGCAGCAACCAATTACCATCAGGTGGACTGTGTG